AAGATGCGGTGGTATCTGTAATCAATATAACCTCTGGATATTGTAACCTGGAATCTGGATATTGTAACCTGGAATCTGGATATTGTAACCTGGAATCTGGATATTGTAACCTGGAATCTGGATAATGTAACCTGGAATCTGGATAATGTAACCTGGAATCTGGATATTGTAACCTGGAATCTGGATATTGTAACCTGGAATCTGGATATTGTAACCTGGAATCTGGATATTGTAACCTGGAATCTGGATATTGTAACCAGGATTCTGGATAGTGTAACCTGGAATCTGGATAGTGTAACCTGGAATCTGGATAGTGTAACCTGGAATCTGGATAGTGTAACCTGGAATCTGGATATTGTAACCAGGATTCTGGATAGTGTAACCTGGAATCTGGATAGTGTAACCTGGAATCTGGATATTGTAACCTGGAATCTGGATATTGTAACCAGGAATCTGGATATTGTAACCTGGAATCTGGATATTGTAACCTGGAATCTGGATATTGTAACCTGGAATCTGGATATTGTAACTCGTATCGTATCTACAATGAGCTACCGGTGACCGCCGTAGGACCTGGGTTGTGCTATAGAGCGCATGTGACTAGTATACAGGCTACATAAATACCTTAGAGACTTGATAGTGAGGATACCTATCTACCTTGGGGTGATTCCGAGGATCAACGTCCCTGCGGCCCATTCTCTGACCAGGCGTCTCGTGCACTGTAATGAAAAGTGTTGTTGTGGTGAAGGAATGAGAGAATGTGGTTTGAGTTGTGGTGGAGTGACTGTGAGCCTCGCCTCGTTCTGTGAGGAGCCCCTCGCCTCGTTCTGTGAGGAGCCTTTGAACCTCGTCCTGTGAGGAGCCTTTGAACCTCGTCCTGTGAGGAGCCTTTGAACCTCGTCCTGTGAGGAGCCTTTGGACCTCGTCCTGTGAGGAGCCTTTGGACCTCGTCCTGTGAGGAGCCTTTGAACCTCGTCCTGTGAGGAGCCTTTGAACCTCGTCCTGTGAGGAGCCTTTGAACCTCGTCCTGTGAGGAGCCTTTGAACCTCGTCCTGTGAGGAGCCTTTGAACCTCGTCCTGTGAGGAGCCTTTGAACCTCGTCCTGTGAGGAGCCTTTGAACCTCGTCCTGTGAGGAGCCTTTGAACCTCGTCCTGTGAGGAGCCTTTGAACCTCGTCCTGTGAGGAGCCTTTGAACCTCGTCCTGTGAGGAGCCTTTGAACCTCGTCCTGTGAGGAGCCTTTGAACCTCGTCCTGTGAGGAGCCTTTGAACCTCGTCCTGTGAGGAGCCTTTGAACCTCGTCCTGTGAGGAGCCTTTGAACCTCGTCCTGTGAGGAGCCTTTGAACCTCGTCCTGTGAGGAGCCTTTGAACCTACTCCTGTGAGGAGCCTTTGAACCTACTCCTGTGAGGAGCCTTTGAACCTCGTCCTGTGAGGAGCCTTTGAACCTCGTCCTGTGAGGAGCCTTTGAACCTCGTCCTGTGAGGAGCCTTTGAACCTCGTCCTGTGAGGAGCCTTTGAACCTCGTCCTGTGAGGAGCCTTTGAACCTCGTCCTGTGAGGAGCCTTTGAACCTCGTCCTGTGAGGAGCCTTTGAACCTCGTCCTGTGAGGAGCCTTTGAACCTCGTCCTGTGAGGAGCCTTTGAACCTCGTCCTGTGAGGAGCCTTTGGACCTCGTCCTGTGAGCGGGTCTCCCTGGTCCTGTTGAGCAGCTCTCGCTAAGAGGATCCGCATGAAATCAATCAAGAGCCTCAGAGTGAGCAGCTCTTTTTTTCTGGGAATTTTGCTGACGTTATCTCCTCCCTCATTAGAAAAAATATTATTTCGTCTTTTTTTCCCCTCTCTATTTTTTTTACCAATGATATATTTCGAATTAGAGTTTTTAGTCTAAATGTTAGTTAATTATGACAATTTTTTGTCTTTTATTGGTGCTAGTGTTTCGTTATTAATAGAAATTAGGTTACTACCAGAGTTAATATATTATTTTATCAGCGACTCTCGTCATCTGAATCAAATTTACTCTTCAATATGGTTTTTTCAGATTTATATTTAAATGATCTTTAGCTCTTATGTCATAAGCATGCGTTCTCAAACCTCAAGAAAAATATAAAAATAAAAGTTCCAGGGTTTTACAGATAATATTGCAGTCATTATCCCAACCTACCAAAGAACTCAAAGCAGAAAGTGTCGAGCCCGCTTAGTTGTACATTGTTTCAAATTTCCTCAAATATATTAATTTTGGAATCTCTTTGAATGAAAACAAAAAATTGAGCTTTTTGAGAATAGAATGTTGTCGCCAAAAAATGTGGGCGGATTTATATCGAGATTTATATCGATATAAATTGTTCTCCGGATTTATATCGAGAAGAACCTGCACTTACACACCGTTTGGTGCCGTGTGTAAATCGTGAGCTGGCAGCCCTTTTACTGTCATCCAGAATTGGGGTTGTTCTTGGAGAAGTTATGGATCTTATTGAAAGATATACCATAAATTCTGGAGAATTTCGACGTGCCATGCAAGAACATCTTGGAAGACGAACAAATCATTTTGTTCATGAGTTTTACCATTTTACACAAATCCTTACCAGCTAGGGAGGGAAAGATGGGAAGTGGGTGAGAGAGAAGCAAGAAAAACTATTGGGGGAGGCGCGCAAATTTTTAAATATACTTCGTAAAGATAACTGTACAGTAGAGTGATATATTCCGACGTAGGAGACTGGATATGCATCTTCGATCGAAACATATCTATTATTATTAATATAAATATAGTAAAATTCAATACTTCATTGAAGAGTAGAGCGGTTGCCTCCACATGGCTCCAAACACTGACATTTGAACTGAATACGATCAAAGCCCTTGACGACAATAAGCGTTTCAACGGGGACGACGCCAATTGTATATCTTTTTTCATGTCTGGTCTTCAAACATGACAACGATTTTACCAATATTCATAACGATTTTACCAATATTCATAACGATTTCCCCTCTTTGCCCCTAGCGACAGTGGTCAAATATGTAAGAATATTAAGCGGCCCCAGTGGGAGCTTGGGGAATCGCTGACCTAGAAAATCAACAAGGAACAAATGGCTGCCCGCATTCGCTGGCTCATATTTCAGCTGTTGTGTTGAGACCAACCTCCCACCCCTCGTACGGTACTCTGCTGCACACGCTAATATTTATTAGAATGTTTATTTGAATTTAGAGGTAGTGTCTCGGAATAAATATAATTTTATATATATATATTATATACACAGGTAATATTATTATTGACTCACTGGGGGTCAAATTTTGGTTTTATGCTTCACCAGGTGCAGAGCCCTTGCCATCGCTGCATATTCTAGTAGTGGTTTAACAAATGTTGTTGGTTGCCGTGAAGTCCTGATTGAGGTTTCTCAACGATGTTCTAATTTTTTCCCAGCGTCCCTAATGCTGCTGATGTTACCTTGTGTCCTGCGTTAGTGTTGGAATTATGTCCACTCAAATCTTTCTCTACGATTCCTATTGTTACCTATCCCTTGTGATGTAGATGTCTCCTGGTCTCTCTCCCTTTCCCATCTTCATTACCTTACATTTGTTTGCCCACTCCTGGAGTTTGTCAAGGTCCTACAATAACTGCTTGCAGTCTTCCTGTTTTTACACTCATCAGTTTTACATCATCTGAAAACATTGGCATGTAAAAGCTCACTCGACCAGGTAGGTCATTCACATAAATTAGGAACAATGACGATCCCAGGATATAGCCTTGTGGTACCCCAAAGGATACCTGATCAACCAGGCTGTGACTCATACGTCAGGCTGCAAGCAGCCGCGTCCAACAGCCTGGTTGATCAGTCCAGCAACCAGGAGGCCTGGTCGACGACCGGGCCGCGGGGACACTTAAGCCCCGGAAGCACCTCAAGGTAACTTCAAGTTAACCTCAAGGTAACCTCAAGGTAACCCCGTTTCTTACATTCCTCCAGCTTGAAGCCTCCTGTCGGGCTGTGACTTGTTGCTTTCTGTTCTTCAGGTAGTCTCTTACTCGGGTCAATATTTTCCCAGTTATCTCAGCCTGCTTCTCCATCACATTCACCAGCCTTTCATGAGGAACTGTGTCAAATGCTTTTAGATAATCTAGGAAAATACAGTCTAGCCAGCCTTATCCTTACCGCCTGTCATGTCATATTTTATTAAGGTAGGATCCCTCTCAGGCATTCTAGATGCGGTAGTGAATGTCATTTCTGACAAACCAGTTGGAGTTGTATGGCAAGATGCCAGTGATGACAAAGTTAAGACAACAGTGGACAGACTGCATCTTCATGCTTTTGTAAAATACTTGTTAACACTGCACTATGTTCTTTTGATAATTACTTTTGCCTCATGTTAGTGTCGTGTATTACAAAGGGCATTATTGGACGAGCTTATCTATAGCAGCTTATCACAGTAACAAGGTTATCGCGAATAACCAAACTCAATTACGGGCTCACCATAGCCCGGGCTACATGGACATTTCGTTCTGAGTAGCTAAATCTAAAACAGCAACAACAACATTGGAAGAGCTGTAACATTCTAATGCTCACATATTCACACAAAGTTACATAGACTGAAATGGATGATTACCACCTGTTATTTCAAGTTTCACCTGAGGTTTTCAGATCCACCTGAGTCACTCGTCATGTCCAGCTAATGTATCTTATCTTTAGGTTATCTTGAGATGATTTCAGGGCTTAGCGTCCCAGCAGCCCGGTCTTTGACTAGGCCTCCTTTTTGTTACACATCCCCAGAAAGCAGCCCGTAGCAGTTGTCTAACTCCCAGGTACCAATTAACTGCTAGGTGAACAGGTGCATCAGGGTGAAAGTAACTGCCCATTTGTTTTCGCTTCCACCGGGTATCGAACCCGAATGCTCAGGACTACGAATCCCGAGCGCTGTCCACTCAGCTGTCAGGCCTCTGGTAGGCTGAATAAATGTTACAAAGACTATTTATTATTATCTGATGTGACTTATGACAAATTTTTCTTTACAGATGGCACTGAACTAGGTGGGACAGGTAGACAGCATCAGCTACACCTCAATGTAACGGAAGTTGGCACAGACCGAAGCACTCACACCGGAGGACAGTCTCTTCAGCTTTTTGGCTCTAACATCCAGCCTCGCCACTGTGTCATCGCACATACAGAAGGCATCGTCACTGTCACACCATGTTCCCGGGATGCAGATACCTTCGTTAATGGACAACGCATATATGAGACCACAATTCTTCAGGTTAGCCCTGATTTTACTCAGTTGTACAGTATTTATTACTGTAGTTGTTAGGACAATTACAGTGCTGGAATTAATATAGTTTCTCATATGAACGATATAAATGCTTTATTGAATGACGTTGTTTAAATACTTTACTTTTGTCTTGATATTACAGTATAGTTATTGTTCACTATTGTAAAACCTTTGTGTTAATTTTTTTTATTTTTCTGGGAAAATATTTACTATTCATTTTATTTGTATGTAATTATTAATTCATTATTATAATGAATGATATGAAATTGACTCAAAAATTTTATTACTCTCCAGCATGGCTGCTTTGTACGATTTGGACGTATCCACAATTTCCGATTCATTGATCCACAACAGGATGATCGAATGCGTCAACACCACCTAATAGACAGGTACAAGCCAATTACAGAGTTGTTATTGTTTTGGGTTAAAACAAGTTCTGTATAAAGTTGACCATCAGAGTTAATTATTTTATATTGTCTTTTTATCATTAATCTATACAGTACCTTAATGTTCTGATAAAATATTTTACTTTGTACATTAGTTTACTAAATTGCCTCATGCAAAGAGATAGGCTTTTTTGTATTCAAAACCATTGAAAAATAGTATGTAAAAATAAGGATAACATTATGCAGAGCTGTGTTGAATAACAATAGAAGATTGTGGGTTTTGTATTGGAGGGATTTTAAGTCTTAATCTTTTTACCCATTACTTTCACTTAGTGGCTCAGAATGTCTAGTTATACTGTAGCATGTTGTGTTTTATGACATGCTTAATTTAATCAACCCTTTGACAAACTCACTATCAAAACCCCCTCCCCTTTTTTGTGTATAAAGCCTTGTAGATTGCATTTGTTAACATATTGTTGATATTTATAGGGACCTCATGTTAAAAGATGTTTTAACACAATGAATGATTTAATGTATCTTAATTAATTTACTTTTTATTAATTTACAAATTTTAAAACTCAAGGAACATTAATATCAGGAAATCAATAACTATTAAAAATTTGGTTGAGTGTAGCATGCAAATTGTTCCTCGGCAAGTGTACTGGAGGGTGTGTGTGTGTGTGTGTGTGTCCACTACACTTCTAGCTTGTTCGGTGGCCAGCATGTTAAGTGTAGCATGTAGCATGTAGCATCCCTGGGGTTGACAGATCTGGGCAAGAGAAGACTGCAACAGGGGGACCTGGGGAGAAGCAAGAGGCTGGGGGGGACACCGTGTCGCATGCTGGGTCACACTCGGGCTCTCAGGCTGGGTCACGCAACTCTAAGTCATCCGCGCAAGAACGTCCCAACAGGATTGATCAAAGCTTTGAGGGCAGGTAAGAAATGTCAACAATGTTGGGGATTTACAAAATAAAATGGTGGGGGAAGGGTAGGGTGGGGGTGGAGGGTAAATAAACGGCAACTGCATTTGATGAAGGCCAACTCAAATTAACACACTGCACTTTGATGTTCTGTGTTACATTTTGTCTGTGTGGGTTGTCTTCTGTCAGAAAGATGCTTATGAAAAAGCATGAATAATACTGTTGTTGCATGATCTTTGTTCTAATTCTCATGCAGCACTCGGACCATCAGACGTCATGCTATGTAAGTTATCAGTTTAAAATGGGGCGTTTCTCTATACAATATTTTGTATTTTCTGTGTGAAATGCATATACTGTACTGTATACTGAGCTATATATATATATTGTATATGGTGAAATATTTTCATTGCTTTTAAAACAGTTAAATAAACATATTAGAACTCTTACTAATATAGTTTTGGTACTTTACTGTACAGTTTTATAGTTCATAAATTTATTTTCATTTTTATTCTATTAAATAACCTGAATTGTTATAATATAGTTGTATCCATGTCTAAAACTAAAGCAGCTCAAATGTTGACTAATAATTTGCTAATTTTCTATTTAGGGGCAACTATGAACGATATCCTCCAGCCCGAGATCCAATACTTCCTGCCGTGCTGGAATTTCGAGAGGAAAGTGAAGAGGCATTTCTTCATGCCATTACGACTGACCTTGACCCAACCGATGTACAGTTTAAACTTGCACCAACGTATACGCTCTACATGGCTGCCAGGTTTAGGTGAGTTTTTAGAGATTATTCAAATGGAAAGGGGGAAGGGAGAGGGAAAATGTTGGATCAGAGGGAAGGTTAGGGTTTGGGGGGGGGGAAGTGAAGAGGTGAGAGGAGAAGATTGGGAAAGAGTGGGGAGATAGGGAGAGAGTGGGGAGATTAGGAGAGGGTGAAAGTTGGGGGGGAGAGATGGGAGATGGAGTGTGTGGAAGAGAGGGGGATAGAGGAAGAGAGAGCATTGAGAGGGAGGGAGGGGAGAGGAGAGAGAGAGATCCAGGCATAGCTGGATTTCCCATCTAGTGAACATTAGGCTTTAACTTAGGCTTTAATTTGAAGGATTTAACTTAGGCTAGGCCTAGGTTAAAGCCTTTCAGAAATATTAGTGATAATAAAGACCTCGCACCATTTTCATGGAGTCAAGTGTGAAATATGGCGTTTGATTAACATGGAGTGTGGAGTTTTTAATGTCATGATAATAGAATATTTTTAGACCCATACTGTTGTTTCAATGCTTCTTAATAATGTATTTTATGAGAGAATGGGGAGAAAGAGGAAGCAATTGGAGTTGGAAGGATTAGAATGTAAGGGGAGAGCAAAAGGATGTGGATGGATAGATATAGACTGATAGATGGATACATGGCTGGTTGATGGATGTGTAGGTTAATAAACGGATAGATAGACGGATAGATCCATCTGTCAGTCATCTTCCACACCGTCTATCCGTGTGGGGGACAGACACAGACCAATGCAACACTGGGTAACCTCCCTTGTAAATCAATCAATTTAACTATACTGTATTTAATTTGCAGAGCATCAACCCACTACCGTCCAGACCTGAGCCCAACAGACCGTGCTCACAGGTTAACAGAAATGCTCACCAAGGTTGCAGCAATGGTTCAAAATGTCATACATGTAAGTCGAGCTGTATTTCTTTCATTAATCCTTAATCTGCTATGCTGTTTCAGTCCTACATCCAAATGCACATGAAAATATAAAAGATATTAAAAGCCCATAAGGATCAAACACACGTAGATATTTGAGCATGGGAGGAAATCCCATTCAGTGATCCGAGCACAGGAGGAAATCACATACGACTTCCTCCTGTGATATGATACCAGTTATGTATCTGGTACCAGTGTCATATGTACTGTATTGTATATATGGTACTGTAGTTTGAAATACCTTCCATCCCATTCATATTGTTGAGCATTTAACCATAGAAATAAACACTTTTGGTTTTAGCACTGTACATAAAAAATAAGTCAGAATTATTAATTAATACATATAACCAAGTTTCAGATAAAGACCAATATTTTGAGGTACAGTAGTGACTTGTCCATCTTAAAAAAAACTTTTACTTCATTACCTATTCCATACTCTTTCATTTTTTTTTTTAGTCTCGTCATGGAGATCCCACATCTTTAGCCTTCTGGATGGCAAATGCTTCAGAATTACTCCACTTTTTGAAGCAAGACCGACACGTTTGTGGCTATTCTCTTGATGCTCAGGATATTCTAGCGGAGGCTGTTCAGGTTGCCTTTAGGTAAGTTGATTCAGTATCCTTCTTGTGCAAATTTTGTTTATGTAAAAACTAAAAATGGATTTTAAAGCAGTGAATTGCAAGCGACGGTGTTCATATGTAGCACATCGTTTTCCATTAACTAGCAGGGGTTGAAAGTGCAGTTTCCTTCAGGCACAGTGCCATTCTATGCATGCCTCGAGGCATGGTGCCATTCCATGCATGCCTCCAGGCACAGTGCCACTCCATGCATGCCTCGAGGCATGGTGCCATTCCATGCATGCCTCCAGGCACAGTGCCACTCCATAATTAAGTGATAATTATTAATTATTTATATTATTATTATAATCATTTTAATAATAATAATTCTTGTATTTAATAATTATCACTCTTCCTTCTGCTTGGTCTTGAAGGAGGTCGGCCTCGGGTGAAAGAGGGCTGTGACGATCTCTGTCAGGAACCCGTAGGTGCGGGACCGGGACGTCCACCTCCCAAGGGGTCGTGCGACCCAATCTCTGCTTCAGGAGGCTGGGGTCATTCTTGCTCTTGGAGTGGTTCTTCTCCGGCCATGTCTGAACATTTTAAGTTCTCCGGGTTTGTAGCCCCTGTCCCCTTTTTCACCAACTTCGAGGTCAACCCCGGAACTCACAGTTCCGGTGATGGGGCTGGAACCAATCATATTGGCGTTTGCCTTTCCATTGGAGACTTTCGGCGCCATGGAGAGGGAGGGACCTGCTGCTTGGGAAACAGCTTCTCCTCCATATCAACCTACTCTGGCTTTGTGCCCTGGAGGGGCCACTCCAGACCAACAACCAGAGTGCACCACCATAGTCTCCTGAGACTGATGGATGCCTACTACTACTACTACATATTATACATACACACAACAGCAACAAAATTTTGTGGCAACAAAATTTACATAATATTAAATGTCCTTTTATATATAGTCATTGAACTATCCTGAAGACGACAATTCACTGCAAGATAAAGTTAGTCATGGTACAGTTCTTAAACCTTTTATGTTATTCTTTCATTGTAGAAGTTTGGTGGACTGCATGCAAGCAGAGTTGTCTACATCATTACCAATGTTTTTGGAAGATAGAGATGATGTAAATGAAGAGGAAGGGTCCACCGCTCACGTGAGTTGTACACCATATGTCACCCTGCATATTTCCTGAATAACTGCAAATAATTCATTAACAATCTGATAATTTTGTAGGTTTCTAGGCAGAGTGGTGATAATGGTGTCTTACAGGTGCTGTCCATCTTAACCAACACCATGGCTTTGTTGCGACGGTGTCGGGTGAATGCTGCTCTAACTATTCAGCTGTTCTCTCAGCTTTTTCATTTCATCAACATGTGGGTGTTCAACCGAATTGTAGTCGACTCTCACCCCAATTTTTGCACCAGGTATGTACTGGGCACTTTTTTTGTTATGATATATTCATGGATGTTTCATTTTCATGCATATATTTTTAGAATACATGTATATTTCTTCTTATTACTAATAAGGAACAGGATGAGTGATTTGAACAACTATTTTGAATTTAATTATGAAAGTATATTAATATTCATTTCTAAATAAGATGCTTTATTCCGTTTTGAAGATTTAATTATGAAAACCTTGTTTGAAAAATGTTAACGTCCTATTCCCACTATACACATGTGCACACATGCATACTTATACGTGCATGCACACACACATATGCATGATCACATACACTGCAAGGAAGAACTTAGGGGGGTAAGACAGTTCAAAAAACAATGGAGCAGGTCAAAGGGAAGTGTGCAGAGAGGCTGAACAGAGATGCAGTTACACTAAAAGAAAAAGGACAATAAACGGTACAATACAACTCATGGTTCAAGAGGCATAAACAATTCAAACCCAAGCTGCTCTGTAACCATAAGAGGAAAGTTGTCAGTGAATGAGGAATGGACTAGGCTGAATAAGACAGGATTAGTATGAAGTAAAGATGATTGATTATGAGGAACTTGGTGAAAGATTTGAAAAAAGATCATCAAAAACAACTCGGACAGCTGGCACTAGAGACAGCCGAGTCCACTGCAGATGAGGGACTGGTAAATATGGCAACTGCATAAGAGGTAGAAAGAGACAACTAAAGCTACTAGACAAGTCAATGACAGTAGTATTTAATTGTTGAATACCTGCTGACAATTTTGAATTGTTCTACTTCCACAGCCTGGCCTGTGGCCACCCTTCCTTGGTGATTGCTTGGACTGTGAGGCTGTTTGTATTCATACATTTTCATTTGTATTGAACATTCATATATTCGTTCCAGTATTCATGCTTGCTTGGTTGTTGAAGAGATACACACTGTAGATCGCTTCACAAGATCAATAACTTTATTGAATTAGGTAAATAAGATAATTGTGAAGCTACTAGGTCCTACCCTGATTAAGGTCTGAGACACTGGCGGCCTTCACTTGAGAGCAGCCACTGCCGGCTCTGTGGGAATGACGTCAGAGGCCTAGCTGCCTCAGGATTGGCTATACACCAACAATCTTACAATTTGAAAGTTGACACATAGTCTGAATGCTCACTTAGCATTCACAGCCAGGCTGATCTGAACTCCAGCAGAAATTTATCCAATTCAATCTCGATAGTTTCCACTGTTCTTCCAATGACATTTCTTTGCTAGCAGAAGGTTGAAATGTCATAGACCAGAGAACTTGTGATACTGAAAGATGCTGCATAAACCCTTAATTGTGCAATTAACATTGATCTTTAAATCGTCACTGGTGTGGGAGGAGTTCCCTAGCTGCTAGAACACAGCTAATGTGAAACCATTATAGAGAAAAGGGAATAGTAGAAGGCACTAAATTACACATTGGCATCACTGACAATCATATCCTGCAAAGTAATAGAAATAAAAAGAAGAAAATTACTTACACATACTAAGGAAGTCACTATTACACAAAGCATTTTGGGCAACTTTTGAACCATCTGGACTAAAATAGTATAAATTTATACACATGATCACAGCTTTAATGAAACAATCCTGCTTTAAGAATCGACTGGACTTCTGTGACAATCGAATGTCCAACAGCCTGGTTGACCAGTCCAGCAACCAGAAGGCCTGGTTGAGGACTGGGCCGTAGGAAAGTTGAGCCCTGAAACCATCGCAAGGTAATCGCGAGGTAACCTGCATCAAGAAAATCTAGACACAGTCATACCATTAGAGCAGGAATTGTCTGTACGCACACGCCACATCAAATAAGTGCATGTATTCTATATACAACTACAGTAATTTACAATACAACTCTCACTATAAATTTCCAAATAATCTTTTTACATGTATTGCAAATACAGTAATAGATTTCAAGTCATTTAATTAAACATTTTGGAATGAAAGTATTTGGTATCCTGATTTGTTCTTTAAAGCATAACATATAACATCATTGAATTGCAGAGTGTGGGGTATAAGACTAAAACGACGTTTAGCTCGTATTGAGCTGTGGGCAGAGAAGCAGGGGCTAGAGCTGGCTGCCGATTGTCACTTGGCGAGACTCTCACAAGCAGCCATGTTGCTACATTCCCAAAAGGTATGAAGTAAAGATAGTCTCAAGAAGCAACACAAGAGTGGATCTGTATCAGTAACGTATCTTGAGCATTTTCACTTAGAGACGCTTTACTGTATTAGCCACTGCTTGTCTATGTTTTTCTTTTGTCTTAGTCTTTTTATCTGCTGCTTGGAATGTAGAGAAAATAGTAGTCATAATGTATGCATAAGTAATCATAAGTTTTTTATTCAAATAATCTTGCAATTTACAAGAAAATGACTTCTTAAGAAATCTTCAACCAGTGTCTATGATGTATTGATACACCAGCCCATCCTCCAACATGGATAGTACTTATAGTAATTATTTAATCAAATGTACAGAAATAGACTCTTGGTCCCCAAAAGTTTTTGCATTAGTAAATTAGCCCAAATGGCATGCTAAAAATGAAAAGTAAAAATCTAGCGTAACGTGTCCAAGGCATAAATAAGCAATTCTAGGCCTAATATATGCTGTCTTAGACATTCATTTAGTAAATAAATAAATAGTAAATGTTTAATCAGGTAAAAGTTCATACATACAAGATGAGTTACAAACAGAATATTAGATTTCTAGATAGAGCTAGTACATACTATGCCTAAAGCCACTAATAGGCACAGTGTTTTGGGCAAATACGTATACAGTATGTACTGTACTATATTAGGCCTTAGAATATTTAGGTTTTGTTTTAGTTCTTGTGCCTCTACAAAATTAATAGTACAAAATGTGAACATTGTTGACTGTAATGAATATTCCAGTTGTATCACTGATTTGTTTTAGAAACAGTACGAGTCCCGATACTGATCCTTGTGGGACAGTGCTCGTCAAGTCCTTGCATTCTGAATCTTCAGCCTCATTATCTCGTTTCTCATTGCTCCCAGGTGGATAGGTAGTCTTTCACCTAGTTCAACTTGCTTCCAGTTACTCCAGCTTCTGTGGAATGTTTACAATGTTGCCTCCTGTGTGGAACCGTGTTGAAGGCTTTCTGGTGCTCCAGGAAGATGCAGTCAAACTGTTCTTGTATTTCCTGTGTGATTATTTATATCTTTTCATAGTACTTTAGCAGGCTTATTAGACTTGACTTCCCTTCTGTGAACCCATATTTTTTTGTCCATTCTAGAAATTCCACTAATCTTCTCCTGACTTATTTATCTTGAACCTTAATGGTCGCGCGCATGTCAATGATACATATTTGCAGTTTTTTGCCTCTTGACTCTCTTCCCTTCTTACATATAGGTATGACATTAGCAATCTTCCAGCTGTCAAGCAGCTCTTTCCTCTCCAGTGAGTCATTGTAAATTATTAAGAGGTTTGCTCATATTTTCTGCTGTGTTCTTTAGTGTCTATCAGAATATTTTATCTAATGCTCTGGATTTCGGCACATTTGCTTCCTTGCTTCATCTGCTGTAACTTGTGTCGTTGCTTTGTCTCTAACTCAAGGGTGTCCTGTCTAGCTACATCTGGAAGTGCTCAGGTACTAGTTTTGAACCTTCCTGCAAACTTCTTTTTAGTACTGTACTTGACACATTTAATCGTTAGCTTCCATTTTGAAGGCGATGAGTTACAATAACGTGGCTTAAGTATGTTGACCAGACCACACACTAGAAGGTGAAGGGACGACGACGTTTCGGTCTGTCCTGGACCATACTCAAGTCGATACCATTTTGCCTTTTCCCCTCTCTCTTTCCAATTAAATTTACTCTAATGTTTGGAGGGAAGGGGAATTACCAGGAGAAAGCATTAAGCCATTATGACTATATAGCACTTGGAAAGGATCAGGATAAGGATTTAGGATGGGAGGGATTAATGTTTGCAGATGCAAGTACAATATTTTTCATTTTTAAATTGGTATGATTTCCCTGCCTACTATACAGCACAGTAGTTCTCAGTACAGTATTTAGAAAATGGGGCGAGGCATTTATTTTTTATATATATTGATAAACAAAATGCTTTATGTAGGTTATCTTGAAGTTATCTTGAAATGATTTCGGGGCTTAGCGTCTCTGCGGCCCGGTCCTTGACCAGGCTTTCTCGATATATGTAATATATTTTTGTTTTTGTTTTTTTCTTTTCAGTCTGCTCCAGATGATATAGCAACCATATCATCCACATGTTTCAAACTTAATTCACTTCAGCTCCGAGCTCTATTAGAAAAATATCAGCCGATGCAAGATGAGCCGAAAATACCTCAAGACCTGATTGACAATGTTGTAGCTGTAAGTTGACTGCACAAAATGTTTTATTTGTAGTTTGTTAATGCCTTAAGCTTATCTGTAGGTCTTTCAAATTTAAGATGAAGGTTAACATTTGAATTCATTATGCATGGTTTGCATAAGGAATTATACAATCACTGGGTCATTGAATCTTATGAAAAATCATGAATGTTATCATGTTTAGATGTCATGTGAACATAATAACATGATCATGGTCGTATGCAAATATTGTATCTTGCCTCGCAGTTACCTTGTGTTGTTTTGGGTATCAATGACCCCGTGGCCCAGTCTCTGACCAGGCCTCCTGGTTGGTGGTTTGGTCAACCAGGCTGTTGGATGTGGCTGTTCGCAGCCTGACATATGAACATGTATACTGTAGTTTATTCCCAAAGTTAAAAATGATTAAACTTTCTCTGTACCCAGATACTCAGGGCTAGCCTGACCCAACTTTGCAGGGTAAATGGTCTGAGGTATGAGACAAACATAAGCTGGTGATGGTTAGTCCTATTGATAATTGTAACGCCTCCTTTCCCCCCTCTCCAACATAATTTGTAAAAGATGGCTGGCCAAATCCCAAGATTTCCTGGCATATAAATACAGTAAATGGAAATTGTTCGAGGTTGGAGACCAGACAGGGAACAGTGGGGAGAGTATAAGCACTGAAATTAAACCATACAAGTGAATATATTTTTGTGCACAACACAGTATGTTATATGTGTATATTTCTCAGAAGGAACAAATAGATTGGATAGAGATTGTATATTGGTAATCTACTCTAGCATTAAAATTATATCTTAGAAAAATGTACTCTGAAAATTTGGTGAAAAACATACTATATTCAGAGAAGAAGCGTGGTAATAAAGAAACTTCTGAGAACATTTCTGAGCATTGAACAAATAAAGGTGTGTTCTGACAAAACACTAAATATTTGGAAAGTATTTAGATCAGAGGTTTGTTAACTTTTCAGCATTTGACCAACAAATATTTTCTTCTCTGTAGGTTGCAGAAAGCACAGCTGATGGCCTGGCTCGAGAAGATGGTAGAGAAGTGCGGTTAGAAGAGGAGATTGATTTACAGCTTCCGTTCCTTCTGCCAGAGGATGGGTATTCTTGTGATATAGTACGTGGCGTTCCCTCGGGTCTGGCTGAATTTTTGAACCCTCTCCAACATGCTGGGCTGTGCAGTATGAATCCACAGCCATCATCCTCTGGTTATTGGACCATATATATGCATGACCAGGATATGAGGCCTCCTCCAGGGGTAAGAACACACACACACACACTTGTATCAATCATTGTTAACCCCTAAACTGCTAAACTGTTTTAAAAGTCATATATCTATGAAAAAAAGTTTTTTAACTCTGATAGGATCCATCATATATGGAGCATTGGACAATGTAAGAGTCGAGTACAATTACTAGATCAGCAGTATTGCCCAGTAACTTTTTTGGAAGTGGATTCAAATAGGAAATACCAAAAGATTACAGCTCATGTGTGTTTCCTTGGGTAATGGATACAAATATGAACAATTCATACCTTTTGTACCAGTACCTTTTGGCATTAGTATTACATTCCCTTATTCAGTATATTAGAGTTTATTTTTAACCACTGCACTGCTTTGCATTAATACTCGATATGTTCTCTTACTCTAGCCTCGAAGTCCTAGTGTGATGAGTAATCGATCGATGTCTATTCCGCGTGGTGAGCCAGAAATCCACATTATCCAACTACACAAATCCAACAATGGGATGGGGCTTTCTATTGTTGCAACTAAGGTAAGTTCATATACCAAATGTAACTTATCCTTTAGTACACATATATTAAGATGTACAGAACTTCCTATATAAGAGAGGGAGATGATGGTTATCACTTTCCAACAGAATTATGACTCGGAAGCCAAATTAAATAACAGTGACGGTAATAAAATATGACACATAATATAAAAATAAACAATCAAACTAATACATGAACACAAGTAAAATAAATGCAGAATACATCAGAATGTTTATTAATAATAAAGACTAAAAAATTAATAAACCTAACTGAAATATACTAGCTGGTATAATTTGAATAATTACTTTGTTCAATGAGGAAACACAATTGGCTACTTATACTCAGGCTGAGTAATTATTAAGTGCAACACTGCTCTACAATACCTTCTCTGTATAATGCTTGTACATAATACAATTACAAATATGACGTATGTTTGGTCTACAGGTAAGTCAATATAGTACTATGTAGCTACGTGTTGAGGATTTGTGTTGTAACGTATAAATTTTGTTGGTTTAATTTTGAAAGTAAAAAAAATGGGTTTGTGTTTTTTATATATATATATATATAGGATTGGTAATTGCAAAGGCAAATTGCTCACTTATCAGTACACAGAACATTACTTTGAGAAGGGAAAAATATCAATCATAGTTCAAAGTACAGCATCAGAGATAGTTCGAGAATAATTGATCAACGGTCTGAATAGAACACTCTCTCTCACCCCTCTCTTCCCTCTCTCTTCCCCCCTCTCTCACCCCTCTCTTCCCCTCATTCCCTCTCACCCTCTCCCCCTCATTCCCTCTCACCCTCTCCCCCTCATTCCCTCTCACCCTCTCCCCCTCATTCCCTCTCACCCTCTCCCCCTCCCTCCCTCTCCCTCTCCCCTCCCTCTCTCCCTCTCCCCCTCCCTCTCCCCTCCCTCTCTCCCTCCCCCCCTCTCCTCCCTCTCTCCCTCCCCTCCCTCTCTCCCTCCCCTCCCTCTCTCCCTCCCCTCCCTCTCTCCCTCTCCCTCTCTCCCTCCTCTCTCCCCCCCTCCCCTCCCTCTCCCCCTCCCCTCCCTCTCCCTCTCCCCCTCCCTCCCCTCCCTCTCCCCTCCCCCTCCCTCTCTCCCT